TAGCCTGGGACACACCGGACGGGGCTGGACCAGGGGGGGAGGCTGTACCGGGGGAGCAGGAGGGGGAGCGGCAGTCAGGAAGAGAGGGGGGGGAGGGACCGGGAGACCTCGACTGGGGTACCTGACGTAGTAGGGGGTGGACTCCTCGAAACGGACGTCACGGGAGTCAAAGAACCGGTGAGAGGGAGGGTGGTAAAAGGTGAAGTCAGAGGAGTCCTTAGGGAAATCAAGGAAGACACAAGGAACGGCGCGAGGCGAGATCTTGTCCGCGGAGGTGTCGCGGACAAGAGCCAAGCACCCCCAGACACGAAACCTCGACGCAACACCAGGGGACCCGGTCCAAAGACTGGTCGGTGAAGCCTCTGGCCGAGAGACGCGTGGCCAGAGGTTCAGCTGGTGCGCGGCGTACCTGACCGCGTAGGGCCACAGAAAATGGGGGGCACGAGCGTGAGTCAGGGAGGTGCGGGCGATCTCCATGACCAAGCCTATGCGGCGCTCAGCAACCCCATTCTGCTGTGGGGACTCCGGAAGCGTCCAGGACTGACGAATGCCCTGCTCGCGACAGAATCCAGCAAGAATGCCGGAGCGAAACTCACCCCCGCGGTCGGAGTGAAGACAGCTGACACGACGACCACGAGTGTCCTGCGTGGTAAGCAACCACCTGATCAGCGTAGAAGTCACCTCAGACTTCTTTGCCAGGGGGAACACTGTGGTGTAGCGGGAGTAGTCGTCAACGACCACCAGAAAGAAACGCTCACGCTCAGGGCCCTGACGAGAGGCAGGGCCCCAGACGTCCAAGTGGAGCGTCTCAAAAGGCTCGGTGGCCGGACGAAGGGAGGAGGAGTGAGGGGTGGCGCGCAGCCGACCCTCGACGCAGGGACCGCACGGCGGCGCAAGCGAAGGCGGCAGCGACGGCAAGACACGCGGGAGACCTAAGACAAGACGCTGACGAGACATAGCGCGCAGACGAGGAAGGGACGGGTGCCCCATCCGGTGGTGCCACAGGACGGTGGGGTGGGCAAGGGACCGGCAGGAGCAAGACGCAGCGACTGGACCAGACGCAGGAACCTGACCAGACACAGCTACCTGGGGGGAAGGAGCAACCTGGTGAGACGCGGGGACTCGAGCGGAGGGCGGAACAGGGGCCGGGGGCAGTAGGAGCGGCTGCTGCTGCGGCTGCTGCTGCGCCAGCGGGCCAGTGTGAAGAGTGTAGAGACCGGAGCCCCCTGCTCAGCTGTAAAGGTGGCAAGGGGCCGGTAAGAGCCCTCGTCAACACACACCGCTGTCTCACCCGAAAACCACACACCCACGTGCTGGCTCACAAGGGGTCGTACGCCCACCAAGTTCCTCGAGAACGAGGGGACGTGAAACCCAGTGAGAGACCCGGAGGGAGCAGCAGGACACGGCAAGGTGGTAGTGTGACGCGCTGTGACCGGTCCCGAGGTGGGATCAGCCAACGCCACGGAGACAGGTGCAGGAAGTGGTGTAAGTGTCGTGCTGTCACGAAAGAAGCAGTGCGAGGCTCCAGAGTCCAGCGTGAACGACAGCGAAGTGTCCTCCGAGGTAGGCGCTGGACTAGAGTCTACACAAGAACCTACACTAGCAACAGGCAACTGAGCAAGGCTAGCACCTAAGCTAACAACACCAGAGTAAACAGAGTCAGAAACACTAGAGTCAACAACAGCATACATAGCATGAGGAGTTCCAATCAGATCTGCTAACTGCTCAGCAGACATGCCCCACAGAGCGGAGCCGTAACGCTGAACAAGAGGAAGCCAGTCAGGGGCAGGACCGCCAACCCCGTAGACCAAACGAACCGTGTCAGTGAGCTGAGCAAAACACTGACCAGGGGGGTGAAAGCGGCCACAAGGGTGGCCTCGGCGAGGACCTGTCAGAACCTGATAGGTGCAGGGAGGGTAAGCAGCACCGCGCTGGGGCTGACGCAGCCCCGACCCCGGAGCCAGCTGCGGCCGCTGCTGCTGCTGAGGCTGCTGGGAGGAGAGGGGCTGCTGCTGCTGCTGCTGAAGCTGCTGCTGACGCTGGGCCTGGTACCACGCCGCTGCTCCACCCACCGGGGCCGGCAGTACGGGAGGCGACTGACGAACTCGGGCGTCGCCACCACCAGCAGGCGCAGTAGAGTCACCTGTCGCTGCACGAGACGTCTCTCCAGGTCCTGCACTCCCACCACCGCCATTCGTAACGCCACCTCCACTACCTCCACCTCCACCACCACCACCACCAGAACCGCCCTTCTTGCCACCCCTACCGCGGGACCGCGACGCAGTCGTAACAGCAGCTGCAGTCGCGTCAGTAGCGGCAGTGGCGAGAGAGGCAGTGGGGGTGGGTAACTCCGGGACTGTGCACCTGTGGAAGAGTGGGGGGGGCACAGCACCAGAGGCAGCGGCTACCGAGCGAAGGTTGCTCTCGACGTCCTTGAGCGCAGACTCAAGGACCTCGACGGTGAGCTCACTAGGGTGCTTCAGCAGAATCGCATCACGAACGGAGGCAAGGCGGTCAGGGAGGCTAGTGGCGATGAAATAGATAGTAATCGCCATAGGGGGAGGAAGCAGTGCAAGCTGTGCCTCAGTGCAAGCAGCGCGGTAACTAGCGTCGAGCGAGCGGAGGTGAGCGATCAAGTCAGTAGAGCGCTCAAAAGACGCTAGGTCAGGAAACAGGAACGGGAGGAAAAGGCGGCCAAGAGAGACAGTAGCGGGAGTAGAGTAGCGGGCCTTAATCGCAGTGAGGTACTCAGCAGCGGTGCGAACCTGAGTGAAGTGAACCTCCTCAGACTCAGGGAGGAGGCTGCTGAGCGCGATGCAGGCCGCAGCGTCACGCGACGTCCAAGCCGTCTGGTCAGCTCGCTGGGTGGCAAAGTGAGCTCTAGCGGCGTCGTCAGGGGCAGGTCCTAAAGGCGTAGGGTCGGGGGGCGCAGGGAGGGCACCAGTAGCGTGCGCCCAGAGGGTCTCGCCTGCCTGGACCTGACTCTCTAACAGACGGCGAGCGCGAAGAAGCCAGACGGAAAAATCAAGAGGTCTACCGTAAGCGTCGAAACGAAGTACACGCTGAGTCGCCATAGTGGAAACTAACGCAGAAGTGTCAGTAGGGGACAGTAGTAGGCAAGTGGGAGACTACGGTTAAGCAGTACCCTTGGACAACGGAAGCGAACGACGGACGAGGCAGCGGGCAACGGGAGCGGACGCAGCGGTGGAAAACGGAAGTGGGGCGCAGCGGCGAAGCGCGTAGGGTCGGCCTGGGCGACGGGCTAGGGCGCGAGCTGGGGAGACGGGCTGGGGCGCGGGCCAGGGTGACGGGTTAGGGCGCAGGCTGGGGCGACGGGCTGGGGCGCGGGCCTGGGCGACGGGCTAGGGCGCGGGCCTGGGCGACGGGCTAGGGCGCGGGCCTGGGCGACGGGCTGGGGCGCGGGCCTGGGCGACGGGCTAGGGCGCGGGCTGGGGCGACGGGCTGGGGCGCGGGCCTGGGCGACGGGCTAGGGCGCGGGCCTGGGCGACGGGCGCGGCCGCGGGCGCAGCGCTGGGCAGCGACGCGACGCGACGGGGAGGGGGACGGGCGCGACGCGACGGGGGAAAGCGACGCGACGGGGGGAGGGGGACGGGCGCGACGCGACAGGGGGAAACGCGACGCGACGGGAGGAGGGGGACGGGAGCGACGCGACGGGGGGAAACGCGACGCGACGGGAGGAGGGGGGGACGGGCGCGACGCGACGGGGGGAAGGGGATGGGCGCGACGTAGGGGAGCGGGGGAAAGCTAACACTACCGCGGAAGGGCCGGCGCTAGGCTCGGTAGCTACAGGAATGGGACGGACGAGAGCGAGGATCAGGCTCGGGAGGTACGAACGATGAACGGAGGAACGGGATCCCACAGGATCCTAACCTAACTGATACCATGTTAGAATGAGGAATCGATGATGCATTGATGTTGGTTGGGGTACATATAGCTAACCCTAAGTTTTGTACCCCCTAAGACAATCCTCACTATAGGCTACAACAATTGACAACAACTTACCGTGATGCAGCTGAAGGAGGTCTGTTGGAAGGCGACGGATCCTGTTGCCTTGAATAGCACACGGTAGTTCGAAGGTCCAAACCTGTGGAGATGCCAAGGCGGAGAGCGTTGTGGGGATAACATCTTTTTCAAGCGCTGAACCTATACACACACGGCTGAAACTGGGAGGTGGCAATCGAAGTGGCCACAGCTGAGCCTCTAATCTTGGACACGTGGCTCATTGACATGCTGTGCTATTCGTTACAGCATACAGTAACCCCACACGCAATCTATTGTAACCAAATCCTCGTTAGTTCGGTGGATGATTTTATACCTTTTGCAGTAGAACCCAACCTACCTAACAATGTACACCTACGAATGTAAAAACGTAAGTTGATAGAGCTATTATGAATTTGAAAGGGCTTGAAAATATTTTTGGGGTCGGTTCTAATATTGGTATTGGTCATTGAAATCAGTTCCCCCATGCATTTTGGTAGGCGTTTGATAATGAGTATTTCTGCCTTTTTGGTTGCATAAACGTCGTTTGAGTGGTTGGAACTCGAACTGACCAACAGCTGATTTAGTGAAGCCTATCCTAGTGAAGCTTCCAGATCGGAACATGAGGTTGCTCACTGCTGGTCCTGGCTGTCAGCTTTGTGAGTCCCGCGCTGCCCATTGCCCCGCCCCCTGCCCCGGATCGTGTTGCCCCCCGCCCCGCGCCCCGCTCCGTTTCGCGCTGCCCGCTGCCCGCTTCCCCGCTGCCTCCACTGCCTCTAGTACCGCTACCTCTCGCCTGAATATATCACGATTGGTTCTGCCCCGCCACGCGCGCGTCGTCCGCCCATTGTCCATCACCAGACGCTGCTTCTGAGGCGCCTCAAAAGTACACTGCCTCTAGTACCGCTACCTCTCGCCCCGCCACACGCGAGTCGTCCGCCCGTTTTCCATCGCCAGGCGCTGCCGCCGCCTTGCGCCCATTCTTCCAGGTCCGATCCAATATGACGTCATCAGCGATCGGCAAGTGCACCAGTGACGTCAGCGGCTCTCTGCTGCGCGCCAAGCTGCTCCCCTGGGCTGCCGCCGCCTTGTTTTCCGCCACTTCCCGCGCGTTCTCCGCCGCCAGCAGCAGCGCCGGGCGTTGCGCGCAAGCTGGGGGAGGCGCGGGCGAGGGGGCAGGCGGCGCGGCGGAGGGATCCGGCGGAGGGGGGAACCTCGCGGCGATCAAGGAGCTCCGCGCGCGCACGGGCGCGCCGGTGAAGGACGTGAAGGCGGCGCTGGTGGCGGCCGGGTGGGATCTGGGTGAGGCATTGCTGTAGCGATGAGATACTGTAGTGAGGCGGTACTGTAGCGAGGCGGTACTGTAGCGAGGCGGTACTGTAGCGATGCGGTACTGTAGCGAGACGGTACTGTAGCGAGGCTGTACTGTAGCGAGCGGCAACCTACATTCCCCACCGGTAGAAGAGGCGGTGCTGGTTGGGGTGGGACGTGCGCGAGGTGCTGTTAGGTGTGCAGCAGAGGGGCTTCTGGGGGAGCGGGAGGGACTGAACCACTCAACCACCACCCTTCTCCGCCCGCTGCATTCACGGAGTTGAGGCAGCGGGTGCTGGCAGCGGCGCAGAAGAAGTCTCAACCGCCACCGTTTTCCTCCCACTACCCCCTCCTGCCCCTTCCAAACTCCACTCCTCTCCCCAGACGCGGCGTTCACGGAGCTCAGAAGGCGGGGGCTGGCAGCGGCGCAGAAGAAGCGGGCGCGGGTGGCAGCGGAGGGGCTGGTGGGCGTGGCGGTGCGGCGGGGCGTGGGGGCGGTGGCGGTGGAGGTGAACAGTGAAACGGACTTCGTTGCCCGCAACGACCTCTTCCAGCTTCTTGTGAGTGCGTCTTGTGTGACTTTTGAGACGCCTCAAAGGGGGCGTGGGAGCGGTGACGGTGGAGGTGAACAGCGAGACGGACTTGGTTGCACGCAACGACCTCTTCCAGCTTCTTGTGAGTGCGTCTTTTGGGGCGCCTCAAAGGGGCGTGGGAGCGGTGAAGGTCAACAGCGAGACGAACTTTGTGGCATGGAACGGAGCGGCTTCTTCCAGCTGCTAGTGAGTGCGTCCTTTGGGGGATATGTTTGAACGTAAACCCTAATCCTTCAGCCCTGAACTCTCTACCTTTTACCTTGAGCCTTGAACACAGAACCTTGGACTCTAACCTTCAGCCTTAAACCCTGAACCTGAAACCTTGAGCCATGAAACGCATGCTTTGAGGTTGATGGCTGTTCTGGCAGTGGAGATGAATGCACAGACGTACCTTGCTGGCGAGGTGGGCTTCAGGAGGTGGCCTGTAAGGTGATCTGAGAGGTGGGCTTCAGGAGGTGGCCTGTAAGGTGATCTGAGAGGTGGGCTTCAGGAGGTGGCCTGTAAGGTGATCTGAGAGGTGGGCTTCAGGAGGTGGCCTGTAAGGTGATCTGAGAGGTGGGCTTCAGGAGGTGGCCTGTAAGGTGATCTGAGAGGTGGGCTTCAGGAGGTGGCCTGTAAGGTGATCTGAGAGGTGGGCTTCAGGAGGTGGCCTGTAAGGTGATCTGAGAGGTGGGCTTCAGGAGGTGGCCTGTAAGGTGATCTGAGAGGTGGGCTTCAGGAGGTGGCCTGTAAGGTGATCTGAGAGGTGGGCTTCAGGAGGTGGCCTGTAAGGTGATCTGAGAGGTGGGCTTCAGGAGGTGGCCTGTAAGGTGATCTGAGAGGTGGGCTTCAGGAGGTGGCCTGTAAGGTGATCTGAGAGGTGGGCTTCAGGAGGTGGCCTGTAAGGTGATCTGAGAGGTGGGCTTCAGGAGGTGGCCTGTAAGGTGATCTGAGAGGTGGGCTTCAGGAGGTGGCCTGTAAGGTGATCTGAGAGGTGGGCTTCAGGAGGTGGCCTGTAAGGTGATCTGAGAGGTGGGCTTCAGGAGGTGGCCTGTAAGGTGATCTGAGAGGTGGGCTGAGCTGAAAGATCATGATTGCAGTGAGAGAGAAAGTGAGCAGTGAGCCAATGAAAAACAAGAAACTGAAAGAGGACTTTTTTTTTTTTTTTTTTTTTCTTCGATGCTAGTGAGTGGGTCATTGTATCACTGCCACATGGACTGACACGGACAGCTGAGACGGCTCTGGGTATAGCCTCTCGCCCATGGGCCCTTCTTCCGCTGCACCCACACCTCCCCATCGTCTCACGTCACATCCCTCTCACCCCTCACCCCACCTCTCATCCCACCTCTCTCTCTCATCCCACCTTTCATCTCTCTTCTCATCCTCCTCTCTCTTTCCTCTCCCCCTCCTCTCTCCTTCCCCTCGTTCCCTCCCTGCAGGTTTCCAAGGCAGCAGCCGCAGCATTGAGCCTTTCCCCGTCCTCCTCCTCTTCCTCCTCCCCCTCCTCTCTCCCTCTCCCTCTTCCTCTGGCGAACCTTGAGGTGAGCGTGGCTTCAGTAGCAGGACAGTAGTTTGCATGCCAAGTAGCGTTGGCATGGTGTTTGTGAGTTTGGGGTTCCGCCACCGCCACTGCACCGCCACCTGCCATCCCTCCCGTTTCAAGTGGACATGTCATTCTCCTCACTCCCAACGTCCCACACACATGCATGCACCACATCACTCACTCCGATTTCCCCTCACGCCTGCACACTCACTTGCATCTTCCCACTTCCACCCACACTGACGTCTTAATCCTTGCGCCTCAACAACACCATCCCAATCCCAATCCCCCACTCCCTCCCAATCCCCCACTCCCTCCCAATCCCCCACTCCCTCCCAATCCCCCACTCCCTCCCAATCCCCCACTCCCTCCCAATCCCCCACTCCCTCCCAATCCCCCACTCCCTCCCAATCCCCCACTCCCTCCCAATCCCCCACTCCCCCCAATCCCCACTCCCTCCCAATCCCCCACTCCCTCCCAATCCCCCACTCCCTCCCAATCCCCACTCCTCCCAATCCCCACTCCCTCCCAATCCCACACTCCCTTCCAATCCCCCACTCCCTTCCAATCCCCCACTCCCTCCAATCCCCCACTCCCTTCCAATCCCCCACTCCCTCCCAATCCCCCACTCCCTCCCAATCCCCCACTCCCTCCCAATCCCCCACTCCCTCCAATCCCCCACTCCCTCCAATCCCCCACTCCCTCCCAATCCCCACTTTCTCCCAATCCCCCACTCCCTCCCATCCCCCCTCCCCCCTCCCAATCCCCCACTCCCCCCAATCCCCCCCCCCCCCCCAACCCCCCCCCCCCCCCCCCAATCCCCCACTCCCTCCCAATCCCCCCCCCCCAATCCCCCACTCCCTCCCAATCCCCCACTCCCTCCAATCCCCCACTCCCTCCCAATCCCCCACTCCCTCCCAATCCCCCACTCCCTCCCAATCCCCCACTCCCTCCCAATCCCCCACTCCCTCCCAATCCCCCACTCCCTCCCAATCCCCCACTCCTCCCTCCCAATCCCCCACTCCCTCCCAATCCCCCACTCCCTCCCAATCCCCACTCCCTCCAATCCCCCACTCCCTCCCAATCCCCCACTCCCTCCCAATCCCCCCCCCACTCCACTCCCTCCCAATCCCCCACTCCCTCCCAATCCCCCACTCCCTCCAATCCCCCACTCCCCAATCCCCCACTCCCTCCCAATCCCCCACTCCCTCCCAATCCCCCACTCCCTCCCAATCCCCCACTCCCTCCCAATCCCCCACTCCCTCCCAATCCCCCCACTCCCTCCAATCCCCCACTCCCTCCCAATCCCCCACTCCCTCCCAATCCCCCACTCCCTCCCAATCCCCCACTCCCTCCAATCCCCCACTCCCTCCCAATCCCCCACTCCCTTCCAATCCCCCACTCCCTCCCAATCCCCCACTCCCTCCCAATCCCCCACTCCCTCCCAATCCCCCACTCCCTCCAATCCCCCACTCCCTCCCAATCCCCCACTCCCTTCCAATCCCCCACTCCCTCCCAATCCCCCACTCCCTCCCAATCCCCCACTCCCCCAATCCCCCACTCCCTCCAATCCCCCACTCCCTCCCAATCCCCACTCCCTCCCAATCCCCCACCCCCCCCAATCCCCCACTCCCTCCCAATCCCCCACTCCCTCCCAATCCCCCACTCCTTCCAATCCCCCAACTCCCTCCCAATCCCCCCTCCCTCCCAATCCCCCCCCCCCCAATCCCCCCTCCCTCCAATCCCCCCCCACTCCCTCCAACCCCCCACTCCCTCCCAATCCCCCACTCCCTCCCAATCCCCCACTCCCTCCCAATCCCCCACTCCCTCCCAATCCCCACTCCCTCCCAATCCCCCACTCCCTCCAACCCCCACTCCCTCCCAATCCCCCACTCCCTCCCAATCCCCCACTCCCTCCCAATCCCCCACTCCCTCCCATCCCAATCCCCCACTCCCTCCCAATCCCCCACTCCCTCCCAATCCCCCACTCCCTCCCAATCCCCCACTCCCTCCCAATCCCCCACTCCCTCCCAATCCCCCACTCCCTCCCAATCCCCCACTCCCTCCCAATCCCCCACTCCCTCCCAATCCCCCACTCCCTCCCAATCCCCCACTCCCTCCCAATCCCCCACTCCCTCCCAATCCCCCACTCCCTCCAATCCCCCACTCCCTCCCAATCCCCCCACTCCCTCCCTCCCCCACTCCCTCCCAATCCCCCACTCCCTCCCAATCCCCCACTCCCCTCCCAATCCCCCACTCCCTCCCAATCCCCCACTCCCTCCCAATCCCCCACTCCCTCCCAATCCCCCACTCCCTCCCACCCCCACTCCCTCCCAATCCCCACTCCCTCCCAATCCCCCACTCCCTCCCAATCCCCCACTCCCTCCCAATCCCCCACTCCCTCCCAATCCCCCACTCCCTCCCAATCCCCCACTCCCTCCCAATCCCCCACTCCCTCCCAATCCCCCACTCCCTCCCAATCCCCCACTCCCTCCCAATCCCCCACTCCCTCCCAATCCCCCACTCCCTCCCAATCCCCCACTCCCTCCCAATCCCCCACTCCCTCCCAATCCCCCACTCCCTCCCAATCCCCCACTCCCTCCCAGCAAGCCACAGTGGCGTGTCACCACCAGCCGGCAGCATTCATACCCCTCTTCTTTACTCCCCTCTCCTGCCCCTCCTTCCCCCACACCACCAGCAAGCACAGTGTGAAGCTGTCAGGCAAAGTTGGTGGCCGTGTCGGCAGCATTCACACCCCTCACCTACCTCCCCTCTCCACCCCTGCCTGTCCCTCCTTCCCTCCCACCGCCAGCAAGCCACGGTGTCATTTGACCACCCAAAGCTGTCGGGAAGCCGCCAGCTGGCAGACGCGGTGGCTGAGGTGGCAGCGCTGACCGGGGAGAACGTGCGCCTGCGCCGAGCCTTCCTGCTTCCCGAGCCTCGGCCGTTTGGCTCGGTGGCCACGTACCTGCACAGCAGCCCCGGGGCTGGCTTGGGGCGGATTGCTGGTCTTGTGTCCCTCTCTCTTTCTCAGCCTTCTGGCAGTAGCAGCAGCAGCAGCAGCAGCAGCAGCAGCAGCAGCAGCAGCAGCAGCAGCAGCAGCAGCAGCAGCGGGGGAGGGAGCAGAGCAGACACAGGATCAGAGCCAGTAGCAGCAGTGGAGGAGGCAGGAGGAGGGGGGGAAGGAGCGGCAGAGACGGCAGGGGCGGTGGGGGAAGGAGTGGCGATGCATGTGGTGGCGATGAGGCCGCTGTACTTGAGGCGAGAGGACGTGCCGGGGGAGGTGGTGGAGAGGGAGAGTGATGTGCTGCGAGCCCAGGTGAGTGTGGGTCAACAGGGGGGTTACTTCATGTCAACTGGTGGGTCAACGCCAGTTAACAGTTGGGTCAACGTCAGTCAACAGGTGGGTCAACGCCAGTCAACAGGTGGGTCCGGTGGGTCAGTACAGGTCAACTGGTGGGTCAACGCTAGTGCAAACGGTCAGCTCGAAATCTCCTCTCCCCCCGCTGGGCTGTCCCCACATGTCTCCCCATTCGAGCCACAGCAGCGAGCAAGCATAGCAGCATGGTGGGGAAAATAGTATCGTGGCCTCTGAATGCTTGCTTGTGGCAGCCTTTTTGAGGCTCCTCTTTATCTCTCCTCTCCGCCCACGCATGCTGTGGCAGTAGGGAGTGGTGGAGAAATGCTGGCAGCAGGGAGTGGTGGAGAAATGCTGGCAGCAGGGAGTGGTGGAGAAATTTTTGAGGTGACTTTTGAGTCGACTCAAAAGTCAGCAGGGAGTGGTGGAGAGATGGTGGCGGGGTGGTTGAAGGCTTGCCACCGGCAGGGCTTTGACACTCCTTTTTTTTTCACTCTCTCTCCTTCCCTCTCCCCTCCCACACAGGCTGTGGCAGCGGGCAAGCCAGCAAGTGTGGTGGAAAAGATGGTGGCGGGGCGGCTGGGCAAGTTCTACGGGGAGGTGGTGCTGCTGGAGCAGGCTTATGCACTGGACGACAAGAGAACGGTGCAGGTGGGTGCTGAGCGGTGAGGACCGTGCAGGTGGGTGCCGTGCAGGTGGGTGCCGTGCATGCATGTCCCCATGGGCTGCCCATACGGACATGCATTCAGCCCATGGGGACATGCATTCAGCCCATGGGGACATGCATTCAGCCCATGGGGACATGCATTCAGTCCATGGGGACATGCATTCAGCCCATGGGGACATCCATTCAGCCCATGGGGACATGCATTCAGCCCATGGGGACATGCATTCAGCCCATGGGGACATGCATTCTGCTGATAGGTGATGTTGCTACACTCCCGCTCCTTCCCATGTCTCACAGAAAGTGGTTGCAGAAGCTTCCAAGAAGGCTGGGGCAACAATCCAAGTGGAGCAGATCTTACGGCTGGAGGTTGGGGAAGGCATTGAAAGGTACGACTGCCTAGTTTGACTAATTCGTATCCCTAAATTATTGACTTGATATTTCTTATCCCTATATTATTGACTAGTATGACTATTTCTTATCCATTGACTAGTACGATTGATTCTTACCCTTGTATGATTGTCTAGTATGACTAATTCTTATCTGTTATGTGATTGATTAGTACGATTAATTTCTGCTCTCTTTTTTTTTTTGTTTTTGTTATTTCTTTCCTTTCTGTTTTTTTAGTCCCTGTCCTCGTGTTCTGCTTTTGTTATTTCACTTCCACACAAGTGTCTGACTATCCTTTTGTGTGCTGCAATGGTGCCACGTGGCAGGGAGGCCAAGGACTTTGCATCCGAAGTGGCATCACAGGTGGCATCGTCCTCGTGACAGCAACAGAGCAAGGCAGAACGGCAGCAAGAAAGGAACACAGCAAAACAGCATGATTGCAAGGCAAGACAGCGTGGCAGCAAGACAGCAAGACTGCAGAATGAAGCATTTGTAGTGATGGCAATCTCCTCACCTCATGGTACTTGTCATTTGAAAGTGTATTTTTCATACTCTGCTTTCTCCAAATTTATGATTCTCTTTGAACGTGTATAGTTGGAGATGTATTGTGAGTTGAGCATTCCCGTAATTTTGAAATACCGTAATCACCCGGACATACCACCCGCCGAAATTGAACACCCCCCGGGTGGCTTGTGCGGGGTGGGTGCTATAGCGGACCTCGTTTCTACTATACCCCCCTTTTGGGCCGATCCGGTATAAGACCCGGGGGGGGGGGGGGGGTGGTATGTACGGAAAATTTTGCTGTTTTCGCCTAAATTTTGTGCAGGGACGTGACCGCACCAGCGAGGCTGCTAAGCCTGTTGCGGGACTCCCGCCTCTGTGACTGCATGAATCCTCGTCGAGCGACGGGGGGTGTGTTTTCGACCAATCAGGGCATGACAGAGGGCCTGTTGGAGCTTGCAATGTGGCAGCTTCCACTCGAGGCTAAGGGCGTGTGCACTAGGGGTTCGAACTTCTGTCTAAGTTCGAACTTTTAGCGAGGTTCTACTCGGTGCAAAGCGGTGAATGTTCGAACTTTTAAAAAATTCGCCCAAAGTGCACACGTGTCAGAGGTCCACTGGTGATCCCCGATGATCCTAGGGAAGGGTTACAGGCACGTTGGCCTGGGGGGTTATGGGCGCACTCACCCGCTACACAAACAAGCCCTTTTATCCCAGTGGTTAGTGGCTGGGATTCTGACATGGTATCAGAGCGAAGGTCTCGGGTTCGAATCCCGGTGTGTGCACCTCGGGCATCCCAGTGCGGGGGGGTGTCAGAGGTCCACTGGTGATCCCCGATGATCCTAGGGAAGGGTTACAGGCACGTTGGCCTGGGGGGTTATGGGCGCACTCACCCGCTACACAAACAAGCCCTTTTATCCCAGTGGTTAGTGGCTGGGATTCTGACATGGTATCAGAGCGAAGGTCTCGGGTTCGAATCCCGGTGTGTGCACCTCGGGCATCCCAGTGCGGGGGGGTGTCAGAGGTCCACTGGTGATCCCCGATGATCCTAGGGAAGGGTTACAGGCACGTTGGCCTGGGGGGTTATGGGTGCACTCACCCGCTACACAAACAAGCCCTTTTATCCCAGTGGTTAGTGGCTGGGATTCTGACAACACGCCCTAACGTTATTGCCTCATCCTCGGTTTTGCGCACCCAACCAACAATCTACCACCGCAGCAAGCATGTACATTTTGTTCCCAACCGTTTCTGCTTTAAAAAAAATGTACAATTGTGAAAGCTTGCTATTTGTCTTTGCAAATGCAACGTCTCATTTCAACTGGCAAGTACAAGATTTTTTATCGTCCAAGCATTTTACATGATAAAAACGATGAATTCTCTACTAGACTAGGGTGGGAGCAGGGCTCTCGCTAGGTTTTGGGGCTGTCTGACAGTACCCTGAAAAAATTTTCCCCCGTCTTATGCTCGGACGACGAAACTTCCGTGGTCTGCATTATAAGCTGGAATAAATTTTCTAGTCTGGTAAATAAGACGAAAAAAAATTCATGGCAGAAGTCAACCTACTGTAATCCTACGAGCAAATCTAGTCATAGTACCAAACAACCTAGGCAGTAGCAAGGGACATAGTCAGAGTCACTAGAGCCGCACACTTCATTGCCGCAGTTACATGACAGCGAGGCTGCTATAAGACACGCGTAATGAATGCGCGTGCTGTTACGGCGCAGCAAATGGCTGTACCTGTGGTCCTATCCTCTGGTCCACAGGGCGTAGGGCCTAGCGGGTCAAGATGTCGGTTTCAGACGAAACCGAACTCGATATCTGTATATTCAGATTAAACATACTACACTGTCTGGAAAATCATTCGAACCTAAAACGCTTATCTTACTGATCAGATGAGAACAAACACAGATTCTTAGGAAGCAGATGAATACAAAAAAACAAGTCTTAAACTCAGACCATCAGACCAAATTGGTCTGATAACGAGAACCCTGGGTGGGAGGGTGGGGAACTTGAAAACTGAAAGTTTGAAATGAAAAACGTGGGTGAAGGCCAAATGGCCTTCGCCCCCTCTTTTATACCGAAAAAGAGGGGAAGTAGCGGTTCGCCGAAGCATTTTGCTTCGGTACAAATATCTTCGCTATTCACAATACACAATTTTAGAAAGTGTTACACACTTTCAAAAATTTACATTTATAAAAAGACCCGGGTGTTATGTAGCTTTTTCCCATGACAAGACCCCCCCCCTTTTTTTGATGTAGTTCTCATAGCACCCTAGGGTGGTATGTCCGGGTGATTACGGTAGTTAGTACAGTATAGAGTTTTGCAGTACATCGAACAATCGAAGTGCTGGTGTCATCAAAACTGCCGAGTCAACGCGATGCCGTCAACGTACCGCTTGTCAGACTGGCCTACGGCCTCTAGTCAGACTGGCCTCTTGTCAGACTCGAGCCAAACACTAAAGTTTCGAGCTGAACGAGCTTTTTAATTAATGTCTCTTGTTGTTTCGCGAAGCGCTCTGCAAAACGCGTGGGTGACATGGCACTGCGCAACGCTCCCGCAAAATTGCAAAGGAACAATCGCGAGTCCTGACACGTCACAGGCGATTGAAACGTGCGTTTGGGGGCTGAAAAATATTGGAATATATATTGCACTGCCTGCGTAAGCAGGCAGTGCAATCGAGTCAGCTAGCACTCTGCGGAGGTGCTAGTAACGGGTGCTAGTAACGGGTGCAAAAATTTTAGGGTTGAGGCTCCCGAATGGCATGCCGTAAGCCATGGGGTTTATTTTTTTTGCCCGCGGGCAGCATGCTGACTCACTCGGTAGCGTCGTCTAGCGAAACGGTAGCGCTACCGAGTGCTACCGATGCTACCAAGTGCAATACCCGACAAAACCAGTGCAATCGAGTCAGCTAGCTGACCGCGGGCAAGAAAAAAAAATAAACCCCAGTCGGAAGGCATGCCATCTCGGGAGCCTAAACCCTAAAATTTTAGGGTTGAGGCTCTCGAACGGCATGCCGTAAGCAATGAGGTTTTTTTTTTTTTTCTTTTTTTTTTCCCGCGGTCAGCATGCTGACTCACTCGGTGGCGTCGTCTAGCGAAACGGCAGCGCTACCGAGTGCTACCGACGCTACCAAATACAATACCCGACAAAACAGTGTCTTTTCACACGTACTTCAACGATTTCCTGACACTGGTTCGCCGAAACAGCACGCATGTGTGAAAGGTTTCGCGCGACCAATTCGTCGCGCATCACTGATTTTTTCTCTCGTCATAAATCTGTGTTTATAAAGAAATCGCTGGAAGCACCAAGTCTGATCAGAGGTCAGCCTGATAGGGGCCCGTAGGAACTCGCTTTTAGTGTTAGAAAATATGTTTTTGTATATTTTAAAGCCCGAGTACCGCATGGCAAAACACCAAGTTTCCTGAACATGAAACAAGGTTAGCGACAGGGAGCAAAAACTTTTTTCGTTGAACCAACCCTGGCGAACCACTTTCAGAGCCGCGAAATCAAACATCACCTCGCCACACTCAGATTGGCCAGCGTCCCCTAGGGATGACCACGATTACACGAAAATACTAAGGCGACCATTCTGTCGCCCCGAATGGTGCAGAAGCGCAGCCAATCAGCACCACCGAAAAAGAAGAATCGCATCGCATCCAAACACCGAGGGGGCATAGAGGGAATAGGGGGGGTTACAGTCCGGTGAATTGTTGATTTGAACCACCAAAACGTGTGGTTGGTAGACATTTGATACCAACCTCGAAAGCGACCTGAAACACCTACAGCCTCGCCAAACGTGCTCGATGAAACACAGAATCACCGCGGAGCACGACTACGAACCATGCTTGATAGTAGGTAGGTCACAGCACGAAGTTTGTCGCGACGCGCTGGCAATAGGACGCCGCGTCGCAAGAGATGTCAACAGCAAAACGCGACGTTCAGGGCCTGCACTGCAGAGCACGATTGCGGAGAAGAGTAGTTGCGTTCCACGATGTAAGAGCGTTGTAGGGGTATTCGAGAGAGGAAAAGTTGATTTTAGAGGGGGTCCGAATTATACGTAGACAATAGGAAAGGTTGGTAGAACCTTTACTACCTCCGGGTGTAACATCTAGGCATCCCAAAACATTTGGCGGGGGGGGGGGGGGCTTACAGAAACACCGAGTAGTTACTTCGAACCCCTGTATGCGGTGGTTGTACCGTCTGTATGTTGAATGGACTACATGCTTGAACCGTGCCTGCAGAGCCTACAACGCGACACGGTAGCGAGAAAGAACGAGGGGCTTGGGCTCCGACGAAGTACTGCATTTGTGCTGTCATCAATTCGCGAATGTTGGGTCCGACATTGTCGAAGGGGTTATCCACCCACATACAACCAACCATGTATGTACGCCCATCAAACAATGTGCGGCGTTTGTAGGATACAATACGTCTGATAATTTCATACTTTGGCTAAAGCCTGTACACTATTCTGCGCTTAATATCACAATTTGTAACGAGCATGTCCAGAAATGGACTACAGGCAGCACTGTACCAGAAGCAGCCGAAGTCAGTCGGCCATTCGATAGTGCACAATGTCCAACATATTCGATCAAGGTTCAACATCGGCGGAAACTGACATGAAGGCGACAGCAAGTGTACGCCGAACTCGATAGTAGTCGACCCAGAGCGTACGAACTTGGGTTTGCCTTATCTCCTATTCAAAAATAATTACGCAACGATATTTACTGAGTAAAAATCAGGGCATAACCTAATCAAGCCTTAGTGACATCCACTTTCCCGTAATGGCCTACGATTTAGCAATAACAACTGGAAGAACTACATGCACATCTTGCTTGAAGCAAGAAATCATGGTTGTTAAGGAGGAAGTACATAAGCATATCG